ACCAAAAAACCCCAAAATATAACAAAAGGCAAATGTTTCATGACCTCTTCGCCTTCCCCTTTTTTTCGACTTCCCTGAATTTATTGTTTCCAATTGGAGTGCATTATTTTTTGGTATAGATTGCCAAAAAGAGACGACATTCTACCTGCAAGATCTACGAGTAGCCGGCAAGGTCGATTAGTCATTAGAGATCGGCACCCAGAAGAATGTCATCGCCAGACCCAAAAAACCAAACCAACAACCTTAAACCCAAAACAGAGGTTCTCAAGTGGCCTTCCAGTCATTTTGTTCCTCGTTTTTTGCCTGTTCCAAACAAAAAAAAACAGGCAAGGAACAAAAAAAGGGAATTTATGTTTTTGCCGGTATCGTAAAACCATAGCAATGCACAGAATACCCAAAAAAAAAAAAAAAAGACGGGTAGGTTGGGTTAGAAAGAGAGCGAGAGGTTAGAGGATACCGCTCCGCAGGTCGTTAGCCGATTTCGATATATATCCAGAAAGCCGGTTGAACAGCGGGTCGTCCCCGAAGAGAAGGAACACAAGAAGTATTTGAAAGCAGGAGCAGACATCATAAATGCTCAAATTCCTCAGCTGATCAGGGCCCTTGATAAACGATCGTCCAGCTAATGGATTTTATAAAAACAAACAAACTACCGATGGTGTGGAAAGTTCCGAACAAATCCAATTATCTCAGCTCACAACTTATTTAGTTTTATTTTGTGTAGAGAGAGAGAAAAGCAAAGGCCCTTGGAAACTTGATGGATTTTGGGTTGGAAAGCGGTAGTTACAAATCAACTACAGCTACAAAGTGCCACTGTCATTGCCATTCACCTGGTTTTGCTTTTGGTTTTGCTGGCCAAAATGCACTTTTGGCCGGGCCTTTAAAAATGGGTCGTAGCCGAAAAGTGAGAGGCGAGTGAAGAACACACGTTCAATATGTAAGCTTTCCGAAGCCCAGCAATGAAAGTAAAAAGTAAAAAGCGAACTGGAGAAATGGGAGCAGCAGTTGCGTGCGTAAAACAAAAAATAAACACCGAAAATCGGAACGAAAAAAAATCCCAAGGCAATGTCAATTTCAATGCCATTAAAACGAATTTTATTTTAAATGCAAAACACAGGTAGAGTCGGGAGATAACGAGGGAGAAACTACAAATTACCAAGAGAAGTGGCGGAAGTGGCAGTAAATCGGAGCGGGCTACCCGTCTTGAGTTCCCGAGCCTCTTGACAAATTATCCCCGACATTTTAGCCGGCAGCTGAGCTTAATTCTTGGGCCTCGTGAGCGCCCTCCATTAAATGCTCTTGCAAATTATATAGTATGGTAGTATGGTGTGTATAAGCCGCTTGGACACTTGATTCATGGCCTGGCCATTATACGTCATCGTAATTGAAATGCGACTGGAAATGGACGTGGAAATGTAAATGTAAATGGAAATGGAGATTTAGATGACGACGATGGCGACGATGGAAATGCGTGCAACAAGTTTCTCGTTTGAAATAACCTTAGAATTAATTGCCTCACGTTTCCGACGTAAACAAAAGAAAAACTTGTTTTTCTGGCAAACAAAGGCAATTGCTCGAGTTGAACCGAAAAACAAATTTTCGGTTTGAGTCAAACACTCGCACACTCGCACACACGCACACACACACGTGACCATCACATGCCAGCGAGGACAACTATTGATAGATGTAACAAATTTTCCCCACCCCCTCCTCGCTTTTGTCAGTTGAGTTTTCGATTACGAAACTAGCCAAAAAAAAAAAAAAAAACAACGAAAAAGCCGAAAAAAAACACACACAGCAAACAAAAAAACCAATTGTTGATTGACTTACAACAGCAGCGACGAACTTGAGCTCTTCACTTTTCTAGTTATTTTCGAATCTTTGTGGCTAATGATGAGGTCATAGAAGTTGGAGCTTGTAACTCGCACGTTTTTGTGCCGATCAGCTCACATTTCCATAGCTGATTATGCCGAAAGATTTCGGATTCGAAGGCTTTTCAGCGCCGCAGCGATCGTTAAAGCCAGCGAACACACAAAAGCCAACAAGCTGGCGATAGATACATTTCCAGTGTTTTCCCCTTTTGGGCAACACACATCAAACTCGATCGGGTCACAGTCCCGGTTATATCTGTATGGTATCCGTATCTCTTATGGTATCTGTATCTGTATCTGCTGGATACTGAATACTGAATACCGAATACTGGATACCGCACAGTGAATACTGGATACCGAACACTGGCCACAATGGGCTGACATTCGGGCGACTGGGGACAAGCCCACACATCTGGCAGCCAGCTAGCTAGCTAACTGACAAATTTATCGACTCGCCACACGGAAAAGATACGCGCAGTTGACTTGGCATTGAGGAGCGTGTATCTGTATCTGTATCTCAACTGTATGGTTACACGGCAAGAAAAGTGAATAAAGGCTGGTTTAAATAATTTATATATATATTTTGAGCTTGATACCAAGGTATTTCAACGAAATTATTGATATTAAGATGCATCTATAAGATACAAAATGTAATTCTAATGCTTCAATATACGCTGCACTTAAACTCTTTACTTGAACTTAACTAGCTTTGAAATTAGAAATCTTTAAGTGTCATAAATCTATAATAAAATTGCAAAATGAATTTAATTAAATATTGTTTAGATTTTCTTTCAGTGCATCTACACTCGTGACGAGTATCTCGGCATTCGAATGCAACAATTACGAATGTTTTTAAGCGATTATTAGACGAGAGAGAAAAACCCCGAGCCGGCAAAAATGAAAACAACAGCGAACTGTGGAACTGTGGAACTGTGGAACTGTGGAAACTGCAAGGGAAAACGCCACGTTGGTGCAACAGAGATGGCGTGAGGAAGAGAAAGGGACAGAGCACAGCTGGAAGCCGGCTGTTGCGTCTCTTTCCAGCCAAAGTGCACAGTCGGCCGGCAAACAGACTTTCGTATCTGTGTGTGCGCGCATTGTATCTCACAGATGCATGTGCCCCGCTCACGTATCCAACCATCCAACTATCTTTTGCCATCGCTGTATGCCAGACTTATGACGCAATTCGAAAAGTTCATCTGATCTTGTTGCGCACTCCCTCTGTGGAATATATCTCCATCTTTTTTCCACCGACTTTGTTTTTTTCTTTTTTGTTGTCAAGGCGCGGCCCCAACCCAGAGAATTAATCTATATAATTAGCTGTAAAACGTAGAAACATCAAGCCATGTATCTCTATTTAGCCCTGAAATTGTAGAGCATTTATTGCAATTGTTTTTGATATTGCCAGCGTTCTTCTTTTTTTTTATTGGCTCTACTTTACTCGTTCCTATTGTGGGTGATTTTCCCTCTATCGGAATTCTTTCACGAAACCGAATTCTAAACAAATTTTCATTACGACACCATCATCATCAACATCAACATCATCGTTATTCGCGGAGCAGCATCGTCGTCATTGAGGTTCTTTTTTTTTTTTTTTTTTTTTTTGGGGTTCGTATTTGGATTCGGGGCTATTCTATAAATGCCCCATCCGATGTTTCACTCTTGAATTATTTTTCGCCGCGTTTATTTATTAATTTTGTTTGTGCTTGTTTAGCGAGCAGTTCAACGATTCGAGTGACGTAATGGCAATCGGGCTGTGGCTGGAGGATTAGCTAGATCATTTGCGTGGGGGCCACTAGAAAACAGCGGAATCAATGGGAAATATTCACAAAGGAGAAACTATTAAAAGTTCGGTAATAAAAAGACCTATAAACCCTTTAGAATATTGCATTTTTTAAATACTTTTTATGCCCGATTTTAGGGCCATTCCAGAGTATCTGTTTTTTTTTTTTATTGGTTCTTATTGAAGGGGTTTTTACTTTTAATTGTATTTTGGCTTGGGCTTCTGCTCTCCACAGCGGATAATTAAATCTGAAGAAGCTTCAGCTTTTGGCCCAAACTAATCTTGGGGGCTCGAACTATCCACAATCGAGAGATGGAAGATGAAAGGGGGTTTTATATATCGAAGCGTAAACGCAAGAAGGCCAAACCCCAAGCGTAACCCAATTACGTGCCAAAAAGCGGAATGCGACCCTCGACAAGTATTTTTTGTGCCTTTTTTCTTTTTTTTTTTTTTGTTCGTCGGTTGCATAGTTGCACATAGAACGTGATTGCACATACACACACTATTTCTATGTACCCGACGTTACTGTACTGTGTTCTGGGGGGTGCGAGTAAATATATGCTCCGAATAGTCGGGTATATAGGCGCATAGATACATAGATACATATGTGCATGTGTATGCTGCGACCCCCTCGGGTGGGCGAAAGGGGGTGGCAGAGGGGGAGGGGATAGCTGTGGCCAAGCCAACCTTGACACACTTTCCGCCGCCCCACAATCATGATGATGATGTTGCTCGATGATGACGATGTTGCTTGATGATGATGACGACGACGACGCAAACGTCGACAGAGGAGCATTTCTTTGATGCACTGGTCAACCCCCAAAAATAAAGGTATAGAAAATTCAAAGTCCTCTCCTTATCAAACAAAAGCTTAAAAGTTTAAGTTAAATAAATATATTCCACTAAATATTTCATATACAAATACAAAGACTACAAAATATTTCGGTAAATATATCAACAAATTTTATGGGAAAAAGAAGTAAGCAGAAACAAAATCAATTTAAAAATTAATTTTATTGTACAAACACATTTTTACAAATATTAAAAGAGCTTAAAAGCCATAATTCAAAATAAGTTGTAAATTTATTACCAGATAAATTCAGAAATTTAAATTCCCTAAGGTATATGAGTTATAAGTGTAAACCATTGGCATAAAAATAAATTGAAAATGCAGATTATTTATAGAATCATGATGTTGACCATCATAAAAATAGTTATAATCCTTTGGCTTTGCTGTATATTTTTGATTGAAAATCCCAAAGTGTGAAGCCTCCGCTTTATGGAGGTGCAATGCTGTGCACTTGTTTAGTGTTAAATAAAATGTATTTGCTTGCGTGCCAACTCACCTCATTTCCAACGGTTGTGATCTTGACAATCACCTCGTCCTTGGTGGAGTCGTGCTCGACGACATCGCCGCTCTGCTCGCGTCCGTTGTAGGTGAAGTAGACCCGCTGGCCGGGCTGCAGTTCGGTGTCCATGATGGATCGAAAGCCGGGACCAATGAGGTCCGACTCGCGGAACTCCTTAACCATGGCGCTGCGGCGGAGTGCCTGAGCGGGACTGATGTGTACGCTGGTGGTCACGCGACGCGGCGAATCCGACGTATCCGAGGAGGAGGAGGAGGAGGTGGAGGAGGACATGGACGAGGACGAGGAAGAGGAAGTGGACGAGGACGTGGACGCGACTGGCGAATCGACGGCGGTCTTGAAATCGAAGCGAACCAAGTAACGCGTATCGGCATTCAATTGCGCCTCGCCGGGCGCCAAAAAAGTGGGCGGCGGCGGCGGCGGCGAGAGCGGTCCCAAGTACGAGGGCGGCGTTTTCACGTCCGAAATGGTGCCCGAGTACCAGAGGCCGTCGGGACCCTTGGCGCACACCTTGGTGCCAATGATGGAGCGCTTGGCCAAACGGCGACCGGTGGACATTTTTGTACGTTCGGTGTTTCTAATTTCGGGGGCTTGAATTTTCCTCTTTTTCCAGCTCTGTTTCCAGCTGGTTTCTTTTTTTTCTTAGTTTTTTCTACGTCTGTTTATCTGAACTTAGAACTTGAACTTGGCCTTAATGGGTGGCAACATTTTCCTCGCACTTTAAAAACACTTTTGCTTTTTATTGCACTTGAGTATTTGATTTTGACTTTTTCTTTGCACACTTCTTCTTTCTTTTTGTCGTAACTATATTCACTTTTTCCTTGAATTTAAACGCACTTTGTCTTTCTTTTTATTTTGGAGTTTGTTTTCGTTTTGGGGTTATCGGGTTATGTGTGTGTGTGGGGTTAAATGACTTAAGTCTGGCAAACGTTCTTGGTGAGCCGGAAAACGTGGAATTTACCGAAACTGGGCAGTTTTTTGATGATGTTTTTGTGGTAGAGCTCCAGGGAGAAGGTGACGCGGTGCAGGAGCCACTGGGGCGGTGGAAAGTGCGGCTTTAACTTCACATGCTCGGCGTCGCTGGGCGTCTGAATGGCGTGGCAGTTGCGTTTGTGCCCAAGCATAATCCAATTTTGAACGCTTTTAATGTCAGCTCGCAGCTTCAACTTCCTTCGGGTGAATTATTGGTTTTTCTAAAAGTATTTGTTTTTCGTATTTGTGTTTTAATTTTGATTTTTATTTTGTTTTTTTTTCGCGCTTTCGCTGCCGGTCGTTTCACTTTTCTCTCAGTTTTCTCGCACACACACACGAAAGCACGGCGACACACACATTCGCCGGAGAGCAATATGGGATGCAATTGGCGGCTGCTGCACTGATTTGTTTTGACTTTTGCAGTTTTTTTTCTTTTCGTGGGGCTCTTGCTTGTTGGGCCCACAAAATAAAAAACGAAACGAAACACGGAAACTGTGCCCGATTGTCTTGGTTGTTTTGGCTTTAGGTTGGTTGGTTTGCTTTGCTTTTCACTTGGCTACTTGATATTTTGGTTTTTCTGCTGTTTTGGCTTGGCAAAATGGCCCGAAAAGCGCTGATCGGTCTGCTCCCGAGAGTTGGCTATCAGAGACTGAAAAACGAAACGAAACTGCCAGTTACAGTTACCCCAACACACAAACACACACTTAAACGCTCGCTCTTCCGACTCTCTCTCTCCCTCTGTGACTCTCTCTGTTATGTATACGTATACTTGCATGGCCGTTGTTTCTATGGCATCTACCTGCGCTTGGAAAAGCAAAACAACATATGTGTGTGTGTTTGGCCTCCCCGCAGCATAGAAATGTTGGAGGAAAACTGCAATTTCCAGCGAGTGCTTAACATTGGAAAATCAGAAGGACGAGTCCTCCACATAATTACATATGCTATATGCGCAGTAGGCTGTCAACATAACTATGACGCCATCGAAGCAGCATAGAAAAAAAAGAGATCAGCAAAAAGTACTACGCAGTTAAAAAAAACTAAAGCATAGAGCACTTGTCAACACATAGACCCGCATCATAATTGGCATGTGCATGTATGTGTGTGTGCGGTTGTTTGGGACTCGCTCTGGTTTATCAACAACAGAGTGGAGCAGAGAGATAACAGCTGTGAGGAGCGACGCAGCAACAATGTTGCGAAAACAGCTGTTAAGAAGCGAACCTCAGCCCCAAAACAAACGGGAGAGAAGTCCCCAAAAGGTTCGGCCATATCCATCACAAGTTCTGTAAATAAAACTAGGTAGTCAAAATATTAACGAGTTGCATACTTCAAGGCGTATGTTTCGCTGTCTCTTTAACAATAATAAAGATCAATGACCGTCATTAAAAATATTTTATGAAATTTTTGAAAATGAAAGCAAAACATTTTTTAGAACCATACCTTACTTTAGTTTTTCAGCGAGCTGACCTTAAAAAATAAATACATAATAAATTAGTATTTTAAGGGGATCTTAAATTATTTTTTCACAAAAAAAAGTTTTTATTTATTAAGTCGCAAATACCCCCAAAAATGTTATCGTAGGGCAGCAGAAAAGAGCCGGCCGGTTTTCTGGTCTGCAACGATAACGTCACAGAATTTAACAGTTAAAGAGAGCGCAGGTTGTGTTTCCCATTAAAGTGCCCGTGCGTGTGTTGGTGTGTTGGGGCAGAGCACTGCTCTCCCACTCTCTCTCTCTTTTGGCGACTCACAGCTGTTATGTGCTTTGAAATTCATTCGATTTTGTTTACATCAATTCCATGCTGCCCCTGTAGATGTGTGGATATGTTGCTGTTGCTGCGGGTGGATGTGGATGTGGATATACTTCGATGTTTTCTGGTATTTTTGGGCTCTCCGCTGCCAGAGCATTGTTGTTGCCTTTGGAATGACCTCTGTAGGCATTCTCCGGCAACGTCAGCAAGTGTCGAAGGGCAGGGGGCGTTTATTGCTGGAGGGGGGCGGGACGGAGAGGCGTTTATGGGCGTTCCAATCTTCAACTCCAATAACCATCACATCCATCCGAACGCCACGGGCACCAAGATTTGCGTAGTTATTATTTCGAAGTTTCTGCGTTTTCCACTTCGTTTTCGGGGTGGATTTTCTGGGGATTTTCTTGCCGCCAGCATTTTTGAATTCCTCGTTTGCAAACGGAGTTTGGATTCAAGGAAAATGCACTGCGTATTTCCCACTCCACCACCGGACGATAATTGTTAAGTCAACCGAAAATAAATAAAAGTTGAAAATCGAGGACGGACGGAAGACCTTGTCAGATAGTGCGGAAATAATGCTTTCAGCTCTTATCTAGCCCAAAACTCTACTGATTACAGACGAAGGGAAAACTTATGTAGGTCTTATCTATGCGAGGCTACACAGAGGAAATAATAAAGCGATATTGGTTTTACTAGTATTCTAAGTTTATTTGTAGACAAACATTATATTGAATTAGTAATCAAATTTTATGAAAATTGAAAAACAAAAGGAAATCTTCAGTACTGTGGGAGTAAACATATTTTAAAGATTCTCTACGAACTGTAAAACATTATATTTTCTAAAATACTTTTATACTTGTATGTATGTAGATACCCCAATCTATTAGCGATTTTCAGTTATAGGAGGATTTATGCACCCCCTTTGGAGGCGGAATAACAAGAAGATGAAGAGGAGTGGCGGCCAAGTGCAAAGATGAACTATCTGGCAAATTCAATTAATCATTTCTCCAGTGGAAATTCCGCAGCAGCAGCAGCAGCAGCAACAGAGCGTTACCAGAGCTACAACAAATACGCAGTTACGAAAAGAAAACAACAAAGTTGCTGCTCAAATGAATGTGTAATGTGAATGTGAATGTAAATGCAATCCACGAGTTACAACACCAAAAGCAACGAGCGAGCGAAGGAAAACGCAAAAGGCAAGAGGCAAAACCAAAACAAAGCATAGGCGTTAGGCGGAGCGGGATGGCTATAGTTAGATACAGAAATCATGCACACACAGATACACGCACACAGGCGCATTGACACATTACCCAAACTGGAAAATAGGTCAACCAGTTGAGGGGGCTGGAGTGGGGGTGCTGTAAAAACAGAGAGAGAGTGAGAGAGAGTGTAAGAGAGCGAGCGTTACAGCCTGTAAGAGAACACAATTAGAACGGGAATCGACTGTTAGTTAACAGCGCCCCCAATTTGCAGGTCGTTCTGATTGGACTTGCTTCAACTGGAGAGGCAGCCAGCAAAAAGTTCTCAGCAGCTGTTGCACTTGAACACTACCCCCTTTCCCCTCCCCTGTTGTCGACCAACCGATTTGGAATTTTATTCGAATTTTATGAAAATTAAACCGGATTTTCGGTTTTCTTTGTAAAGTTGTAATTATTGTTTTTACCCTTTTTTGGTAAGTGTTTGCATTTGGTAGGGCGCCGCACTTAATTCGTACACAACAAACAAAATATAAAAAAAATAAGATTGGAAATTTCAGTTGTGAAGCAGTAAACATTTGTAGTTTTCAATAATTAAAGCCTCACTAAATTTTGTGGAGTAATACATTCAAAAATTCATAAATTGATAAATTCAATATTAAACTCAAAGTAAATTTTCAAGCAGTGACATTTCCAAGTTAGGTTTTCTTTCTTTTTATTTATTTTTATTAGGTATTATAGGATTATCCAAACTCTGAGTGTATTTTCATTCCCTCCTTTATCATATACTTATACCCGCTGATATGCGCATTCTCACGTGTGTGAGTGGGGATTTGATTGGATCGCCTTCGAAACCGGATTTCGAAAATATGTATGTCATTCCATACCGTTCCATTCAATTACGCTGATGCCTAGGTATCGCCAAAGGTACGAGTATACGAGTATATAGTAGGTCCCACAATGGACGGCCTTTGTTGGCAAGAAATCAACTTGAAATTACCCCGATCGGTCGACGCGGCGAAAAGATGAGGGCAGTTTGCCACTGGAGATGACGTAGAGAAAGTGCAAGCTGTATGCAAATTAACGATACTGAATCGGCCCGGATTAAATGTCCATATCCGATTTGCAGGGGCTGCAAATTACCCGCTGCACAAATTGGATTTTAATGAAGGAGCCAATGAAATCACAGGTTGGCAAAGTAACTATCAAGTATTTATTTTATATAATATTTATATCAGCATAGAATGACCAATCTACCTTTAAAACTTTATTACATAAAAATGTATAAAATATCAATCTACACTTGAAATTAAAATCTGCTAAATTAGTTGAGCTTTATAACTATGATTTCTGTAATCTGTCACAACCTCTTGATTTTTCCGAAACTCTGATGGCGGAAAACCGCCCTTGAAGCATAAATTAGTTGGACAGAAACGCGGACTTGAAACTCCCACTCCGAATTGAAGGCCTTGACATTTGGATTTGCGTGTGGGGATGGATCATTAGAATGTTTACCTGTTCGCTGGCAGAATGTCTGCTTTTTTGACATCCAGTTGGTCGCAACTCGCGAGGGGAGATCCGTCTGTATGGAATGGAAACTCAAGTTGCCAACGGTCGTGTGATTGATGTGAACATGTCAGCACGGACATGAAAGTGGACGAATGGTCATGGCGATGGGGTTGGGGATGGGAAAGGGAAGGGGGCTTGGGTTCGCAGGAAGCATAAATTGTAGACAAAGATGAGCGCAGATACAAGATACACGCTGCCATTACACGACTCACAATCAGCTGCAGATACAAATTTATGTCATGTGCATTCGAGACATGTGAATGACAAAAAAGCATCTCCGAAGTGATAGAGTTTTGACAACCAGTTTCGCACTGGGAGAAAATGTCTGTATCATTTATTGAGTATTTATTTTGTCACTAACCATGCAGTGCGTTTCCCTTTGAGATAATACGTGGAAATGTGGAAAAAATATAAATCATGTGTTGTTATTTTTTAGCAGCTGATATTTTATTTTATCTACAAGATTTTTAAAATCTAATTCTGTTTTGTTTCCATGTTATGATCTTTAAAATAGTACTCACAAGACTTGTTTTTTCTCTTTTTGATGTGTTTATTTAATTAAAATTTCAACAATGGTTTTAGAGGCATCAAAACTAAAATACCTAAAAAATTACAACTTTTATAAAAGGGGTAAATGATTTATATAATTTAAAATAATATCTAAATTTTTCTGAGTGCACTTGGAGTTGGACACCGAGGAGCTGAAGTTTGTGGCCAACCCAAGGCGATGGCCGGGGTCAAGTGGCCACCTGACAGCAACTTTCCTTGGCCAGGCCGATTTCACCGATGGACGATTCAATCGGCGGGCCAGGAATTGGAGAATCGAAGAACTGGAGGAACACCAGGGAAAACCGGCGGAGCGTAGGAGCTGCTGCGCCTCCAAGAGGGAAACATGGAAACATGGAAACTGTGCGTGCTGTTGACATTGGGTCATAAATTCTGGTGGAAAACAGACAACGGTTTTCATTGTTCGCCTGCTCGGATGCAAGACTTTTGTTTGGACAATACACAAATATGGGCACTAGGCAAACAGACCGATACGCAGCAATAGACAAATAAATGCCTCGGATGAAATTGGTTTGGGGTTGGGCGAAAACCGGGTGAGAGTTGGATTGAGATGAATTTTGATGAGCAGGGAAGGGGGAGGGGGTGCTGGAGGGGGAGGGGAAGCGTTAGAGGCTGCAACCAGCTGTCAGAGACAAACTGTTGTCTTTGCCGCTTGCAGGCAGAGTTCAATCGAGCAAACAGACAATCACACAACCAAACAATCACTATCACTACCCTCTGGTCGAAAAGAACCCTGGACCGAAATCGAAAACGAAATGGAAATCAGACGCCACCAACCTTGGATATTTTGCAACTCGCAAACTTTCAGGCCTCAAATGGGTCAACCACCCACGTCACTCACTGACCCACTTTCCTCAGCACTTCGGCCGCCAAATCTGTGTCAGGGTTATTTTATCTAACATACATAAGTGAAATAAGGGAGGGTAATCAAAAAGAATATAGTTTTTAATATTTACAGGTGTGTTTTTCCATATTTTTTAATCCAAGTTATTCATTTTATATTTGGAGGGGTTGCTTTAATATACATAACTACATACAAACTTAAGTTGAAGTTTGAATATATTACATTTAATTTCCAATTTTGTATTAAATCTAAGGTTAACTTATTAATTCTATTATAATAATATGTTGTTTATTATTATTTATTTTGCAATTTGCAAAACATATCTAGGGCATGTGCTTTGTTTTGTTTAGCCTACAAAAAGCAAGAAAACCTTAGCACATTTTTTGTGATTTTATCAGAATCAAGGACATTTTGCCAAGGGCAAACACAGACGAGGTGCAACTTGACCCACTTTTCGGATGCAGGAAACCAACATATGTATGTATGTATGTATGTACATGTCAGGGTTGCTCCACTTCTGGGGAATGGAAGCTGCAGGTCTAATAGGGTTACCCCTATCCAAAAGCCACCCTGCCCCCTCCTTATTTGCCCCTGTTATTATCAGTCACCTCTAATCTAGGCCAATCTATCCATCGTTTTTATAAGGTTCAATTAATTTCAAAAGTTTCATAAGTTAATGATAATGGTGGTTTTAGTAATGGACGGCGGGTTTCTGGGTTTGGCGCGCAGGGCTGCCACTCGGTTGGTAACATAACGGCGTGCAGAGCTGCCACTCGGTCGGCAGAAACACACGACATGCCTAAAAGTCTGCTTTTCCATTTTCCCAATCGACAGAAAATTGGTTCGGGTGCTAGCTTTCCACAGCGCGAAAAAAACATAAAATTTTAAAATTTAATGGAAATTATTAAATAAAAGTCATAACTGTAGAAAATAACATTTTTAATACTTTCGTTATAAAACTACAAAAATACATCTACAATTTACAAAAATTTCGAATTGTATAAATATGCTGGTAAGTCAAAATACCGATGAGATAAAATTAAAAGTGAAAATTGGAATGAATAAAAAGTTGCCTTTTTAAGTGGTTTTAAAATCCTTCAGATTTTCAAATGACTTTGGTTTGTGTGATTGTCGGTTAAATTCGTTAATGTCTGTTGCACAGGATTATAATACCAACAACCAAAATGAGTAAAGCAATGATAACTATGATGGGAAGCTTTGAAAGAGTCTGCTCTTCGTTGATTTCTTTGTGGCATTGGGTCGACAATGGTTTTGGACTGTCAGAGTCATGCAAAATGCACTCGATGTTTCGCAGTGTAGACTGTTTCGCCTGGATTATAGAAATTAAAAAAAGGGATAAAAAGATCGAAGCATAACTATCAGAGTTTACTTACATGGGTGTAGAATCTTTGCACTAGCGGAGAACTGCAGTTACATCGAATGGGATTTCCCATGACCCTCGCATCCTTCGTCTTAAAAAGTCCAACCAAACTGTGCATATCGGTCAGTTGATTGTGACTCACATCGATTGAATCCATTCGGCACGGCTCTTCTGGCATTTCCGTGATAAGATTATGGCTTAAGTTCAAACTTTTCAGATTGGGAAATGCACTGAAATTGCATCCCGGCAGGTAGGAAATCTGATTGTTTGATAGATCTAGGTGGCGGAGTTCCTGTAATCCACTTAAATCGGGTACTTCCCTGAGGCTAATACCGGATATATCCAGGGAATTAATCGGCAGATCAGCCAAGCCCTTTATGTCGAAGGTAAAACTTCCGCAGTCTGCAGCCAAAAACTTATTAAGTCCTGTGCCGGATATCCAGCAGCCGGAATGAAAAAATCGAGGTGGTCCTTTCACCGGGCTCAAAGCCAGCAATATATAGAATACGCTCGTAATCAACATCTTAAACTGTAAAAAAAACTTAACAAAAAAATTATCATACAATAGGTTATGCTTATACAGAACACCTGGAAAAATGTTTGGTTTTGAAGTAGTTTAAAAAAGAAATGAAAATGTACGGATGGTTAGATTAACCTGGACAACGAAAATTTAATTGACAACTGACAAGTTTAAGGTAGTAAGAATAGATTACTTTAGATTAGATTGCATGCAGTTACACTGATAGTGCAGATAGGTAGAATTTGTTGGTAGCCATTACATTGCCATTTTATCAAAATTGCAAAAACTCAAAGATTTTAGTAGAATTGATCATTTTTAGTTTTGCCTTCGTGAGGCAAGTTCTTTTTTAATTGCTCGCAGGTCTTTGCAATATTTTTTCCCGGTTTTTTTTTTTTATTTTTTGATATTATTGAATAATGCATCAAAAAACTAAATTCAATAAAAGTAATTAGATTAAATTATATTTAGATTTATAGAAATAAATTCCGTTTAAAAGCAAAATGTGTAATGGTTCGTTTTTTCTTTTTAGTTGAAGTAAAAGGTAAATCAAATCTTTTTTTTCTGAAAAGATTTGTGGTAACAATCAAACCATAGTCTTGTCCTCAATTTCAAAGAATATGTACGGGATTGGATTTCAAAATAACGTTAACGGAAGTGTTCCACAAGCAATACAATCCAATTTACTGATAAGACCTTACAGAAGGCAATGCTAATGCCTTGAGATTTAATTTTATATAAAAAGACATTTATCAGCAAATGTATGACTTATTAAGTATGTATTGTATGTATTTACTACATGGTTTCTGATAATGAGTCAGTTTTTATTTTCTTAGCTCAAGAACAGTCTAACTGAACAGAAGCTGCATTAATCACATGCGGATTTGCTTGAATTTTACTCCGAAATCAAAAGGACAGGACATTTTGGGCCAAAAACTGGTTTGACGCTAAAGTTTTAATTGCATTATTCTGTCTAAAAACAAACTGTTTATTAACTTTCTTTTTTTTCAGAGAAATATGGATTTTCTAAATTGGAAACCCACATCGACCTACTGGTTATTTTAAATTTTTTGCTGCATGTTGAAGCTTTAAAAACCCAATAATTTTGATGAGACTGTTAAAAATTTAATTTGAAGTACAACTTCATGCAAGTTCTAGTGGTGTTACATAGTTCAAATTTTGTTCCAGAAATTGCCACACCCACTTTTAGGCGTCCGATCCGCGAACTTTAGTGGGATCCATAGTAAATACTATAGTAGAGTGTGTTATAATTCCCTTGCAGAGCAGAGGGTATTATATTTTCCGTCAGAAGTTTGCAACGCAGTGAAGGGGGTACCTCAGACCCCATAAAGTATATATATTCTTGATTAGCATCATAATCATAAGGTCGATCGATCCAGCCTGTTCTTACTTATATACTGCGTGCAATAACTACACAACTTTTGGGAATGGTTTAGCAGGATAGCTTTCAAACTAGGAGACTAGTTTGCGTAGAAACAGACAGGAGGACAGACGTGCAGATGTATTTCGATTCAGATCGTGAAATACGAATGATCAGTAATATATATTTACTTTGTGGGGTATATAATTTGTGGGGTCTGAAGTGTCTCCTGCACTGCGTTGCAAACTTCTGACTGAAATTATAATACCCTTTGCTCTGCAAGGGAATAAAAATCGTCTTAGCTCCAATGCTGTTTAGCTTTTATGTATTTTGTTCGACATATTTGGAGTCTGCAGGGGTATATAAGCTTCGGCATGCCGCAGTTAGCTTTCTTTCTTGTTTTACCACTCCTATTGATATTGTTTAACGCAATTAACAAAAATCCAGGCACTAGACTAAAGGCACTAGACTGAAAGTTTATTTAATTTTTATATCAGCAACATATTGTGTTAGGTTTAAACAGGAAGTTTTTAAAGTAATACACTAGTCAGTTTAAAAACGGAATTGTTATACAAATATTGTCTTTATCGACTCGCCTGTAAGCCTGATTAGGATTACATACATTCGACTTACTCTCTGCAAGGGTGAATCACTGGTGATCACCTGGTCGATATACCTAATTTTTTTAAACCGTGAGTATTTTATAATTCTTATATAACTTATTATTTTTGTTATATTCAGTTTTTCGTAGTGGCTCAGAAGGTTCAGGAACTGAGCGAAAACTGAGTCATCAAACCAAACAAACGGTGTGTGCTCGATAAAGTGTTCATGTCACTATTATTAAAACTTAAAAACAACGATGTTTAATGTAAAATGTTGTTACATTTATTGTATACAGATTTCTCGATCTTTCCTTTGGATATACATAGATCATTTCAGATGGTGAATCATACATATAGATTAGACAAATATGGCGGTCGAGCGCCTCACATTCATCACATTCAAGAAAATAATTGTCACGTGTTATAGGTGCAAAATAGTACACAAAAGCCTATGAGAAAATCGAAACGATTATCACGAAGGAAAAGCGTTAAGTCGCCGACAATGTGGTTGATGGAAAACGCCTACAAAAGGATGGGTTTTTCCGGCTAAAAATTAACAAACTTGAAGAAACACTACAAAGACAAGCAATATACCTTTTTGGGTCTGGTTGCCTCTTTAGATATTAAAAAATATATTTTCCGGCTTTTTTACTTTAATTTTCGTTTTTTTTTTTTACACAAGCAGCAGATTAGATCGATAGCAAACGAAGAAAGTGATTATCACGATCCTACGGAACGCCGTGTCTAGATATGACATTTTTAGTGTGAACACATTTATTAAACGCCTTACAAAATACTAAAAAACTTTATTAGTTATTTCTAGATTTTTTACTTTCACAAATACTGATGTTTATTTTAAACTTTGACCAGAATTGACAAAATTTAAATAATTTTGCATTTACACCATCAGATTGTTTACTATAAATTACAACGTTTTCAATAACTATTTAAAATATTTTTAAGATAGCTTAAAAAGGATGCTAATATAGAAATTTGGTAAAGGAACACTGCAAGAAATATTTGAAAGTGTTTTTTCTTTTGCTGGGAACCCCACTCGAATGCTGCCAATAAAAGCTGTTCGTATTGGGTTTTCAGCGTAGCTAAGAGCTTTAACAGATAACGTTTGCCTTTCAAAAACTTTATAAAAATAACTGAAAATGTTATATGACAAACACAAAGTATTGAGTATTTATATTTAATATTTAAATGACATTAATTTATTAAAAAAATGTAATCAGACTTAATATAACAAACATTTCTTTGCGCAGGAACTTGTTGTGCCGGCTGACAGTGCGTATACTTGATGGGAGCGGCTCTATTTGGGCAAGCAGTGCAAAAAATACTGCGTCCTCGTCCTGTATTTCCGTTCTCTCTCTCTCTCTCTCTCACTCTCTTTCTCTCTTTTTGGGGAGCGCGCACACGCGAATCCTTGGCGATTGTGTGGCAAAGCTTCGTTACTTCGCCGAAGTTGCGTCCGCATTGGCAGCGCTGCCGACGTCGACGCACCGCTGCCTTGCCGCCCCCGAAAAAAAAACGTGTGAGGGGAGGGGGGAAAGGGGGCGCGAGTCCGGGCGGGCAGTCCTCGGGAGTCCTTTTTCGAGTCCTGAGTCCTCAGTTTTGGACAAACACTCCGAGAGGCACGTCAGGGCCAAGCGCGCGCGCTTCTCGTGTCGAGAATTCTGTCTGTCTGTCCGCCAGCGTGTGCGTGAGCGTGTGTGTGTGTGCGTGAGCCAATGGCAGCGTCGGTGTTAGCCAATTCCAATTCTGTGGCAAATACCGTGCCGTAATCGTGCAAAATACGACAAAGTCTGGCCCCAGCCAAATTCAAGTGGAAACGTAAAAAATCAAGTAGAAGTGCAAAAAAAAAATAGAATACAAGCAAAACACCTGCCGCCCGACATTTCTGTATAGTCCTGCAAATAAACAAATAGAAAAAAAAGCGAAAAAACCATAAGCAACACGGGCAACAACAACAACGTTAGCAACAAAATCAACAAAGTGCGCTGGCGGAGCGGGAAACGCGGAGCGGGTTGCAGGTTGCAGGTTGCGGGTTGCGGGCTGCGGGCTCTTCAGCTGCCAGTTCAGCTGTCAAAAGTTAGTTCGACTCGAAAGCCTAATGTTTTATTTTCACTTTCATTTTTATTTCTATTTTAGTTTTAGTCGCCCCTCCATCCAATCCATTCTCGCCCTCCAAACTTTTGCAGCTCAACAAAAGGCGTGGGCGGTGCACTGCGAACAATTGTGCAAAAAAAACACAAGTGAACATTATCTCTTCGAGAAACGAATGAGAAACTAAAAGTTAACAGAGTCAAGAGAAATAATTCAAAAGTTGTTAATTTTTAGAAAAACTAGGATTAGAATATCTATGAAAAACAGAAAGTTTAGGTGATATTTGACAAGATTAATTGTAAATCATTTTTATTTGTGATATAATTTAATTAAAATTTGTTTGTGCTAATCTTGTACATATTAGTTTTACAATTTTATTTATTTAAAAATATTCCTTTAATTTTGATTATTACCCAAATTTCTACCACCACAATTCTTTTTGTGTACTTGAGACTTAATTCTTATGGCAATGACAGGCGCTCAAGGAGTTTTCCCGAGCGTTTTCCTAGCATGCTGCTGTTGTTGTCATTCCTCTCCCAGGCTTCGTAGAAAAACTTCCACACTTCCCGCTTTAAAACATCTTAGGACTTGTATAAATTGCTTTGAAATTTATATGACTGCCAAGTGCATTACTCATACGCCGCGTTGCCCAAACAAAGCATGAAAATGAAATCATACCAACTACAAAGAGGCAATAACAGTTAAGCTCACCTACTGTCCGTGTTTCCAAGTCTGCTTGTGTGTGTGTGTGCGAGGGTGTCTATGATAAAAATTGTGAAATGCGTGCCATGGCAAAAAAATAAAATAAAACAAAGGCAGAAAAATAAATGAAATGAAATGAAATGAAACAGACCAGCAATAAAACGGGGCAAGAACAAAGGACGAGAGCTAATGTCCTGACCAAAGTCCAGAGTCACGCGAAGTTGCAACAACAACGGTGGCAATTTTCAAATAGACCACCAAGGTGAACCAAGGATGTCGACGGGGAGGGGGCAAGGAAAGGCAAACTAGTTAGATCAGTCGACTTCTGCCAGAGATCTGTGATAAATCAAGGATGTTGTGCTGGCGAGCAAATGCAAATAAATTGAAGAATAATAAGCAAAATGCCAAGGCACTGGCAACTGGCAACCGAAAAACAAAAAGGAAAACGAAAAGCCGCCGCACAAAATGTGTAGCATAAATAATTCCACCCACAACACACAGAGACAAAAAAGGTTACACAGTCACTAGGGCGACACCAGTAGACATTTAAACGCCGACGCTGACGTTTGACGCCAACGTCGACGTCAACGCCGGCAGCGCAGTCAGCCAGGGCAGCAGGACTCTCACCCACACTCTCTCTCCTTAAAAGTTTCTCTCTAACTAACCTACATCAACAGCTGTGACTTGTGAAAAAGTGCCACCCACGCACGCCGCAAAATGTGAAACATAATTAAATAACCCAAAGAAAATACCTCAAATCAATCGGAAATTAGCCATATATGCAACCAACTAAATAATACAATTTTTTCAGTGTTTTAGCTGCTGTTAAAAGTGTGAAAATCGCGAGCGGAGTAAACAATAAGCCAGGACAAATGCAAACGCCAGAGCGCGCTTTTCTCTGACTGTCGCTCTCTGTCTCTCCCCTTCTTTGTCTCTCTGTCGCTGTCGCTGTCTCTGTCGCTCCATTTCGCCGACATTCTACGGAACAGCTGTTCCCCATCTCTCTCACCAACTCTCTCTCAGAAACTGCCTTAGTCTCTCTATCTAACTGGACTTTGAAAAAGTTTATCCTGCGCCGAAGCGTGTGTACATAACCTCAAATCGGCGCTCTGGATGTTGCGGTAGGCGGACGTCGCCGTTGCACACACAAGTGCAACATCGCAAGCAGAGCGGCAGCAGAGCGACGGAGCGGCGACGGAGCAGCGTTGATGCCGTTGCAGCTGCTGCTGCGCAGCCAGCGACGACAGCAGCAACAGCAGCAACAGCAGCAACACGAGCAGCAGCAGCAACAACAGCAACAGAAACAAGACAAGCAGCAACGCCAGCAGCAGCAACAGCAGCAGCAACAGCAGCAGCAGCAGCGGCAGCAGCAGCAGCAGCTAAGGCAGCAGCAACAATCAGCAACATCAGCGCCCTGTGTGCACCGACAATAATATGAGGAGTGGCAGTTCGGAATTACTACTCGAGCAGCAACAACAAGAGCTACGGTTACGTAAAATCCGAGAACTGGCTCCGAAAAAGAAAAATGGCAATCGGCGCTTTCGTTCGTGGCGGGAACGTGCGCGTTTCTATGGCACCTCGACACTGGCCTTCTTCTCGGTGACCGCCGGTGCGTCGCTGCTCTTCCTCGTACCGCTCTACGTCGATCCGGCCATATCGACATTGAGCCACGACTTTATCGAGAAGCCAACACTGTGCACAACGACGCGTCGCGAGGATCTCGTTGGCATATTCAATTGCTCGTGGAGTTCGTGTCGCGAGGGCTGCACCTCCGATTTGTATCGCTGCGTTCATATCTATGTGACATTCGTTGAGCAGAACATTACGATACCCGAGAATATGACCGACTATAGTAACTTTACGTCGGACATGGAGCAGTCCGGCGAGGCGACGCTCCTGGTGAACATCAAGGGATGCGGTTATCCGCCCTCGGTCACGTGCAAGAACTTCAACGGTTACTACGGCATCGAGGGCGCCATCTTTCCGTGCTTCTACTCGCGCAAGAACAAGACGGTGGTGCTGACGTCCTACAACCACGACGACCAGGTGGCCATGATCATCCACTTCTTCGCGGTGCCCTTTGTGATAACGGTCATCTCGTCCATCGCCCTCTGCATCATGCACTGCGACTGCCGCTGCAAGAAGGATCGCAGCCACCGCCGCAATCGGCCGCAGTGCCGAAGGCCGCGCATCGAGAATCTCAGGTGAGTGACGAACGCACTAAACTAAACTAAAAAAACCAGTGGATTAAAACACCAAAAAATAGTGCAGCATTGCCTTGACACCTTTTGAAGAGGACCTCTAAAAAAATAATATAGTGTACTTATTTGAAAGTCGTTACTAATACTACTATTAAGGAAAATTCGTCATTATTTCCAATTAAACATCAACTGAAAGACGAAAGTACTTTAGAGGTTTAATTTAAATAAACCTTGAATTTCTTAATGTCAAATACATCTCTTAAAATAAAAGAAATATATATTTTAAAATTAAATATAACCCATAACACTTTCAATTATTGTTGTTTACTTAAACACCTTATAATTGAGTTAGGCAGTAGAAGGAAACGCAAGGGATAATCTTTTAAATTCATCCAGCCTGAAGGCAAACTGCCACTTCCTTCAAAAATTCACTTTGCAGTTTCATTTATTTTATTTAAATATACATGAATTTAGAGCGATTCTGGCGCTATTTGCTTTGCCTTCCTTTAGCCAGTAAGTTAATTTAACAAAACTCTCTCAGCAGGAAGTTCCTTCCTGTCTGCAATATTTGCTTTCCTGGCGTCGGCGTAATTTAAATAATTCACTAATGACAGTTTTTGTGTGCGGGTGTATGTGTCTGTGTGTGTGTGTATGTTTGTGTTAGTACTGAGTCCGGAGTGCGGAGGCAAAGTGAACGTGTCAACGGAGGGGTGTTGTTATTTTGGAGTAATATGCGGTCTAAATTATTTATAAGAACAGGCGTCGCATGTATTTGCCACCCTGCACCGCATTGGAGGCATTAGGGGCACGCACCAAACACGCACCACACTGCGTATGATTGATATGTTGAGCTGTTGACAGAGCCGCCGGGGTTTGGGCTTCTATCTGGCATCGACTGCTAATGGAATGCCGGAGGGGCGGGCTGCGGCGACACTGACAATTACATTTGGAAATCAAGTAAATAGAAAACAAAGGGGCCATTGATTCGTCGTAGCAAAGACTATAGAATATCAAGATGTTGCATGACCTCAAAAAAATCGTTCTATGGTGGGTCTTGATATGGAGACCCACATGACTTTGCACTTTTAAAGGCAGCTAAGACCATATACTCAATTAGTTCGCCGCGCTTCATGAAGCCCGGTGGTGTTGTGGTAGATGCTATGCCTCGTGTACATGAAGGCCCGGGCTCGTATCCCCGCCCAGCCCAGCCATATCATAAATTGTTTTTTTTTCTTTTTTTTTTTGTAAATTATTTAATTATTTTATTTTTACATTTTTTTTTTTTAATTTTTTGTTTTTATAATTTTTTTTGCGTTCATGCAAGTGGTGAACAGCCTGATACAATTATACAAGGTAGTCCACTCGGCAAAATCCATAGTCCCCTATTTTAGCTTTGACAAGTAAGTGTGAGTGATACGGCTACATACAAGCAGGCACGCAGGCACGGAACCAAAACCGAACGACTTCGGCAAGCCGAGTGGACTACCTTGTATAATTGTATCATGGTGAGCAGCAAAATACCCTAACACGCGTATGTACACGCGCATGTGTGAAAACTTAACGTCACAATTATATGAATAAGGAATATTATTAATATTGCACCTATGAATTCTTTAATTTAATTATTATAAACGAAAAATTATGATTTAAATGAAAATTAAAGAAAATAAAATAATAATGCTTTACAAGTCTGATATACCCTTCTACTATTGTAAAGTGTATAAAGCCCGATAAACTGAAAATTGCCAGCTGTGAACAAATTCCCAATTTGGGAACACGACGAATATTAAAAACGAAGACGAAAGCCGAAAGCAGCAGTTCGTCGTGTTTCTATTTTTAGATTTTCCCTTTTTACCCCGACCGACCGCATCATGAAGCTCGAAACAGAAACGAAAAATTTTTTGTATGGGATGCAACATCTTGATATTCTATAGTCTTTGGTCGTAGTTAAACTCTATTGCCAGCTGGTCTTTAATGTCGGCATTTATTGAATTCCTTTTGAATTGTGGGCATTCTCGAATCTGTGCCATTGTTTTGCTTTCATTTTCCTCCTCCACTTCCTTTTTCGAGGAAATTTCCATCAGTTTTCAGTACTCACTCAGTGCACATCGATTCAATCGATAATGAATTGGTGGTCTGTCCCCCGCACTTCCTGCATGCCTTCCCCAGCTCCTGCTCCTGTCCGCCCATTCACTTGCTACGTGCATTATTCAAATGTCATGGCAGCCAGGGGTGCTCTCACATGCCAAACCAACCCATCCAGCCCATCCAGGCTGGGCAATTTAAGTTCGCCAAGTGCTCGTCAGAGCGTCGAATCCTTTGTCTTCCTTCTCCTCCGACTGGCTCCGGCTCATCCGACTTGGCTTGGCTCGGCTTGAACTGGCTTGGATTGGCCCAGAGGCTCTATCAATTATCGGCAAAGTGCGAGGAGTGCCGCTCCGCAATTCCTTGGTTCCTTGGTCGCCGAGATCGCCGAATAATTGCCGTACGTAAACGGCCTTCGAATATAAAGGTGACCCCATTTTGGTCAGGTTTTACACAAAGAGAAATCAGTCAGCTGCATCCTGAAATGAAATCTTTTTGTAGCATACTTATAAGCATCTTCTGGAATTTAATTTCAGCAGAACAAATATAATGCAAATTCAGAAAAAACTAACGAAAAGAAGTTGAAATATATTTTTAAAATTTAAATTAAAGTTTCTTTTAGTCACATGACCACATTTTTGAGCACTGCTAAGCCAAGGCTGAGGAATATTTGATGTTCGAATAAGTCTGCGGACAGCATGCAGGTGCATGTTAAACATATTCTCCCACAAAAACTTTTAGTTGCAAATTCCTTTGGCAGCAGCGGCTAAGGAAGGTGGCGCAAAAACATACCATATATCTAATGCGCATATTTTAACTTGTTTTCAACGGAAATCACTAATAAAAACAGTTGAAAAAGAGCTGTTGAAAAGTTGCGAAACAAAATGGCGTCAGCGTGCGACCGTTGTTAGCGCTATCTGCCATGCACACAAGCAGACACACACACATACTCACACACGAACACACACACCCGCACATCCGCCACACACTCACTCCATGTGCGTTACATAATCAGCTTACCTTTCGCTGATGCTTTTTCTTGTCGCTGAGCCACCCGACTTTGTTTCACAGTCACCGTTGCCGTTGAGGGATTTTCAGGATATCATTCACACGGCACTCGACTCGACGAAAAACTCGTTCGAACAATATGCAAAATAAGCTGGCAGTTAAGTGCAGCAGCGAAGAGGCCAATAGTTTCAACCCGTTGCCAGCTGGCTAATGATTATATGGCGGCATTATGCCACTCTCGCACGTTGCCACCATTTCGAGTGCCAGGCCTCAGCACGCTCCGCATTAGTGGCACTCTTAGGCCACTCAATCATTTGGCCATAACGCAGCTAAATCGCAGCCAATAAAGAAACCAACTGCCTTTGCAACTAAGTAGCCAGCAGGAGTTAAAAGCCAAGAAGGCGTGACTGGGCCAAGAAGGAGTCGCTATTGGAATACCCTTTCATATTCATTCATTCATATTTTATTTAAAAGGTTCAAAAAATGCACCTTCACTAAATTAAAAAACATAAGCACACGCATTTAGGGAATGGTAAAAGTTCGACCATCCAAATTGAAAAATTTAAACGCTCGATATTTAGGAATGATATCGGCTTTGGAAGTCCAGTATTGGGTCACCTAAATGAAAATCATTGAAAACTCAGAAAAATTTGACAAGGAAGGAGGTCAGATAATCGACCATCTCCGAATTGAAAAATGTAAACGAAGTTCGATTAGGATTTCCATCGCAAACATTTAAAGGCATGTCAATTTGGAATCGGATTAAAATTGACAAATATATAAACTCTGGAAGTTTCGTTTTGGGTCACCTCTTTGAGCATCATTGAAGACTCAGAACAATTTGACATGGATGGGAATCAAAAATTTAAACGCACATTTGTTAGGGGTAAAACTGGTTGGGTGATAGGGTTTCCTGAAATCCCATACACAATTTGTTTTGGTAATTCATAGAGGAGTTCCGATTAATTAGACAAAGTTTAATTAAATATTTTAACCAAGTGAGAGTCATGCCATAAAACCAGCAACTTTCTTCGGGGGAATATCAAATCAGGGAACTTGAACAGTGCGATTTCGCTAAACTGGCTTTATGGTTTTGAGGTTCCCCTGGCGAAAGTATGGCCACCATCAGCATCTCCTTCAAGTGCAGCTCAAACAAGAGTTTAAGGGTTCAGCGGTGGGTGGTGGTTGGGTGGTTTTTTAGGGGTGGAGGTGGTGGGTGCTCGGGGGGAAATGCTCCTAGTGTGGCCTACTTCTGTTTCTGCTTTTGCGGCTGCCTAGAAGCGTTTTTCTTTGTGCATGTATTTACGTGTGTGTGTGTGTGAGTGTGTGTGTGTCTATGCGAGAGTGTGCCACTTTGTGCTGCCTTCCTTTCTTTTATTTTATTTTTTATAGAAAAATCAATTTTGCTCCTTTTATGAACATCCCAAGCAGCTGAGAATGCAACGAAGTCACGTCTTTCATTTTCCTAAATGATTTTTTACGAATTGAGTGTCTTTTTGTCATCTACATGTCGAAAATTTGGTCACAAGAAACATGCTTTCCTTACCAATATAAAGATATATAATATATTATATACATATATAGGGTTTTTAGGAAGTTTCACCTGTTTGGGATCCAAAAGCTGACATAATCATGTGGCCCGTGTTCGATTTGGGTTGGCAGTCTGCCGCAATCTAATGACAACAACAAAGGACCCTTGATTATTGCTGAAATGCCGCTTAGTTGCAGACAGATGTTGCCCCTTCTGCGTTCCGTTGGGTGTCACGTATCCCCTTTGGAAACAATGGCGGTGGCACAGAAAAAAAAACAACAAAAGCAAGCTGATCCCCTTATCTGCAGATACCCGAGAACCCAACGCCATTGTTGATGGGCCCCTTCGCTTTTTTTATATATATCTATCCGTGGCGAAA